ATTTTCCTAGTGCAATATAATAACTGATTTATTCACTGCTGCTTCCGTGGATGTTAATTGGGGACCCAAGTAAAATGAAATGACTACATCAATCTTCTGCATTTATCGTGATGTTGCTTATTGTGAGGATTTTTGTTTCCTTTATGTTGAGGTGTAATCCATACTGAAGACTGTAGTCTTTGATCTTCATCAGTAAGTGTGTCACGACATCTTCACTTTCAGCAAACAACGTTGTATCATCTGCATATTGCAGGTTTTTAATGAGTTTTCCTCCAATCCTGACACCATAGGAATAAGTGAGAGATTTATTTTTGTTGAAATTGAAAATTGAATCACATGCATTTTTTCTCATCTACCTCAACTCCAATAAAATAGCAATAAAAGATTCAAAACATATTTCTTGACAATATGAGTAAGAATACAGGAGATAGATTTTAGGAAAGAAGAAAGATTAGGTTATGATGACAAAATACTCTGTGATATTAAGACACTCCAATAATAAACAGCCATAATTTTAAGAAATGTTTTGTAATAATATAATGATAATTTTAGTTGATTAAAATATCTGATTATACTTTTATTATCTTCTACTTTACTTCCTCAACTCCTATTAATTTCAACAGAGGAGTAAGACTCAATGAAAATTATTTTGTATTTAGAATTTACTAAAGACTTCTTGATTACTTACAAGTGGCATTACAATAAATGGAGAAAAGATGAAGTTATCAAATATTTCATATTACTTGGTTCCACAATCAACAACAATGGAAACAGCAGTCAAGACACAAGATGATGTATTGCACTGGGAATATCTGGTGCAAAAGACCTCTTTCAAGTGCTAAAGAGCAAAGATGTCTCTTTGAAGACTAAGGCGCACCTAACCCAAGCCATGATATTTTCAGTTGCCTCATATGCATGTGAAAGCTGGACAATGAATAAGGAAGATTGAAGAAAAGTGGATCCTTTTGAGTTGTGATGTTGACGAAGAATGCTGAAAGCAGCTTGGACTACCTGAAGAACTAACAAATCTGTCCTGGAAGAAGTGCAGCTGTAATATTCTTTGGAAGCGAGAATGGCCAAACTTTCACTCATCTTCTTTGATAGTGC